CTTAATAATTCCCTAGTTTATTTGATAAGATCTTAGTTATGATTAGGGGGTGTAACCAGGGCCGTATCCAGGATTTACTAAATACCGATGTCCAAACTGAGGTAGTCTTTTCATTATATCTGAGTCAGTGTAAAAAGAAAACAATACAATGTTATATCTTCAAAGTTTTATTCAAATTGAAATGAAAGAAAAGCATTAAAACGTTTGTTAAAAGGTAATCCTTCTGACATTGGATAAATGTAATTAACTGTAGCTCTCTAGTTAGTTTATTCACGCAATTTAAACCAAAGTATAGCCTATAGCTGCAATATAAGTTAGTGTGCATATTGTTGAACGTCCACTGACTAACGTAGAGCGTTCACACATGATCTGCTGGTCATATGATGTCCTGAGGAACAGGAACACAAGCAGCCCGCTGGACTCAGATCTCTAGATACCTCATCATTCCGCCTCTGGACTCAGATCTCTAGATACCTCATCTCTCCTCTGGACTCAGATCTCTAGATACCTCATATCTCCTCCTCTGGACTCAGATCTCTAGATACCTCATCTCTCCTCTGGACTCAGATCTCTAGATACCTCATCACTCCTCTGGACTCAGATCTCTAGATACCTCATCACTCCTCCTCTGGACTCAGATCTCTAGATACCTCATCACTCTTCCTCTGGACTCATGAGACTGCCAAGGCACACAGGGATAGGTAGATCTCTAGACTCAGGTCTCGCTCTCACTACCTCGCCATAGCATCCTAGACTCAGGTCTCCTCCTCCTACTCGCCATAGATCTCTACCCTCAGTCGTCCTCGCTCACCTACTCCGATAAAGATCTCTGACCTCGAAGGTCTCCTCACTACTCGCCTCCATAGATCCCTCTAGACACTCAGGGTCTCCTCCGTCACGTTACCGCTATAGCTCTAGACGTCAGTCTCTCAAACTCCTCCGAATAGATCTCGTACCCTCCAGGTCCTCCTCCTCGTCTACTCCTAGTCTCAAGACTCGACGGTCTACTCTCAGTTACTCGCCGTCAATAAGATCTCTAAGACTCGAGGTCTCCTCACTACCTCCATAGATTCTCTAGACGTCAGGTCCTCCTCTCACTTACTCCTAAGATCTCTAGCGTCGGTCTCCTCCTCTACTTCCGATAGATCTCTCACTCAGGTCCTCTCGCTCGACTACTCCATAGATCTCCTAGACTCAGGGTCTCCCTCGCCTCGCTAACTCGCATAGTTTCTCTACACTCAGGTCTCGCTCCTCACTTACTCGCCATAGCGATCTCTAGAAAACGCAAGGTCTCGCTCCGTTCCTACCTCCATAGATCTCCTCCTGCAGGTCTCCTCTCACTACTCCGTATAAGATCTCTACCTCAGGTTCCTCCTCACCTACTCCGATAATCTTCTAGACTCAGGTCCTCCTACGTCCTACTCCCATATCTCTAGCTCAGGTCTCCTCCTTACTAGTCGCTCATAGAATCCTCTACATCAGGTCTCCGTCCTCGAACGTTACTCAGCCCCGACTATAGATCTCTTAGACCTCAGTCTCCTCCTCACGTAAACTCCCGATGATCCTACCGTCAGTCTTCCACCTCACTACTCGATTAGTTCTTCTAGCTCAGGTCTCCTCGCTCACTACTGCCCATAGACTCGTAGACTCAGGTCTCCTCCTCACCTACTCGCATAGTTCTCGTACACTCAGGTCTCGCTCTCGACTACGTGCCATAGATCCTAGACGTCAGCTCCTCCGTCACTCCTCCACATAGATCGTCTACACTCAGGTCTCCTCGCTCACTACTCGCATAAGATACTCTAGACGTCGAGGTCTCCTCCTAACTACTTCCATAGATCTCTACACTCAGGTTCTCTCTCACTCTACCCGCATAGATCTCTACACGTCAGGTCTCCTGCTCAACTACTCATAGATCTCTAGACTCGCAGGTCTCCTCACGTAATCCATAGATCTCTAGACTCAGTCTCCTCCTCACTACTTCGCATCATATCTCTACACTCAGGTCTCTCCTTCACTACTGTCCGTAGA